AATTGAACGATATAAAAAAGATTGATAAATAAATTTCGACCTCAATTTTTATCAAATAAAATACATTCTGAATCAACTGGAGATACAAGAAGAGCTAGTTGAAAAGCTACATTAAACTATAAAAGCCACAATTTACCGTAAAAATTAATAAGTGCTGCGAACTCAGACGATTAAATGACACAGATCACACCGTGGCAGATATGTAAGGATCAACGATATCGCAAGACTGCGCTCGGCATTTGATAAAAATTTTGCGGATCTTTGAACGCCGCGGATAATTTGCTTTTCGGACACGACGGCACCACTTCGCACGGCAGGTGCGGAAGAACGCGCGTGTGAATTTCCACGTGCCCTTTCGCAGAGAATGCCACGGGAGCGAAATGCTCGCCTGCACGTGCATTGGAGAGTTAGGACGGGACCCAGATCGACCGCTACCACAATTTCCATCGGCGCCCGGATCCGGTCGGTCGCAATGGAATTACGCAATTAGTGCGAGCGACGAAAAATTCGATCGAAATGCGACCGCCGGCAATAGCCGGGCTGGTAGCTCTCGAGCCGATACTTACGTCGGCCCGAGTGTCGATAGCTATTCCAGAATTGTTAACGTAAACCGCGACTTCCGCAAGAATTCTCGCGGATATCAATTACCGTCAAATCGATATCGCTGCACTCGAACGTACAGTCTTATTCATTAATGCCTTCACTAGGATTTACATTTTCATAATCTTTATTCCCACCTATACGTCGACGAGTCTCGGGTTGTAGTTCAAACAGCTTCTACAGAGGTCTGTGATAGTACACGAGAACCCGTATTTATAGTCGTGATTCTGCTGGAAAACTCGGCTAAAACCAGTCTTGAGACGTGACACTGTTTAATAGATGAGTCGAGAAAAATTGCTTATCGCCGCTTTAATCGACGTTTTGACACTCAAGACGAATTTCAGGTAAGTAATCGGCCCCCTCTTCAGCTGAATACGGCTGATCTTTAATCAAAATGTAACTACTGAATCGTCTGTATCTCAAGACAACTCTGATCTCCAATCTGAGTATCCTCACCTGATACACTCTTGAGAGGAGAATTGGGAAACGACTATAAATACGGGCCTATTTCACGACCAGAAGTTTGATAAACTTCACTACACATCTAGTAAATCCTAAAGAAACTCTGATTCGTCCATTTTCTAACAGAATCGGCTTAAAGCCAACGGCCTTAAGATTTAGCCTTAAGTCACCTGATCCAAAACTCTGCATCCTGATTGGCTCTCGCAAGCAATCCAGTAGGGAAAAATAGTATCGTGTGCCGTTGGCTTAAGACTGTACATACGTAATGGTTATAGTTTATATTACTCCCCCCTCCCCTCTCTCTCATATCAGTTTGTTGCGTCAGCGTAGATTGTAGTTAGCACGCCGGGGTTAACCAAAGTTAATATCCGCGCCTTCTCTCCGAGTAGCCTGGCGCTTGCGATAACTTGCTTACGATATTCCTAACGCGCATTAGCGATGCGCGTCCTGATAACCGTGTTGAATTCCGGTCTTTCATGCGGATATCAAGTAATCGCGCTGGCCTGTATTGCGACGTCTCGGCAAGGCTAGCCGAGTGGCTCGGTAATTGCCGCTGGTTGCACCGGTAGTACCGTTTAACCCGTGCACGTAATAAGTCCTTTCGCGAAGAGACATAATGTTACGGCGCGCGCAGAAGTTTAGATAAACATATGCCATCCAAGTTTCTCTAACAAGATGTTGGAATCCCGCGAGCAAACACGCGAGTCTGCACCCAACAAGCACTTACAATGTTATAAACTCCGAAGAAATCTAAATAACGTCGGTTTTGTTAACGGTAGTATCCAGAAGACGATGTTATGTAATCGTTTACAATAAACGCCACCTCGCACGTAATCAATTGGCACGCAGCATTATTTCTATCGGGGACAAGCGTAAACGATGAAACGACAGTGTTTCTTCTCTTCAATCGTTTTCTCGTGAAAATTCGTATGAGCGATTGTGATATTATTCACTCGATGTCTTGTATATATTTATAAAAATTTGTTATCGTCAAAACTCGTTAGGTTTCTACATCGTTTTCGGGTAATTGCATGTAAAATTGAAACACGTATTGGGATATTTTCGTAAAAATGTTGCCAGGCATGTGAAATTGTGTATTTCTATCTCATGAACTTGACTGGCGAACTATCTGTCTATCGCCATTTGGAAATGACCCGTTATAGCTACATCGTTGTCTCGATTCAAAGTTTGTACGTTAGGGATGAGTGTGACAGAAGGAAGTCGCACGGCACTGAGCGATAACAATTTATCGCATTGTTCCTTGCAACTTCAAATCGTATCATAGATTTACTACTTTAAGATAAACCAAACTTATTGTTGGCATTATGCTTTATAGCTTCCTAGGGACATATTTTCGTCTATCTTCACGTTTAAAACTGGCGCTTCAAAATTGATAAATGTTTATCGAGACATTAGCATTTCATAGATAAGAATATATTTGTCAGATAATTTACTTATACAAGATTATGTATGGACTTTATAAAATCGTAAAAGCATATTTGCGCCTTTGTTAAACACAGGGTTGGATAGTGTCTAGTTAAAAAGATAAAAGTTAAGTTGAAAAGGTAAAAAGTTAAACAATTTTAACTTAATTTAGTTACATTACATACTGTTAACTATTCACTGAATTTAGTGATATTTTATCGGTAACTTTCAACTTTTAATTTCATTTTCTGGTTGATTGTTAACCAGAGGTTAGTCGACTCTCTGTCTCTGTTTAGATAATAACATGAAGAAAGACAATTTCCTTTTTTTATCTTTAAATATCAAATTAGTTGCTCCACCGAGTGCATCGGTCGTTGTTAAGCAATCTATAAATTTCGCTGACATAAATGCACCGCCGATCCGTGTATTTTTTAATGTACCCTCCCGCCCTCATCCGCGGATCTCTTTCACGACGGCGAACCTTGACCTCGTCACCTTCTCAAGAAGTTTCGCAAAACGGGAGCGCTCGCTGACCCGCGCGCTCTTTCGATCCACTCCACCTTGCGGCTGTTTATAAACGGTGCGAGAGCGGCAGCCGTGTTGAAATTCAAGCGGCGCTTCTACGCTCGATCGCCGCGGAATAAGGATCCTATCTTATTCCTTATTTTCCTCCTCCGCCGCCCCCTCTTTTTATTTTTCATTTATCTTTTTACTTTGCCAGCCGCTAGCCCCGTAACCTGCTTTCGGGCGGACCGCGAGCGTGCGAAAATTCAGACTGTCGTTCGATGCATTGTGGAATTATGCTCTCCGTGGATCTTAATATAAGCGATTGTTAATTAGAGCGTTTTTTTTTTTGCATAGTTGAGATGGCACAATGAAGCGTGTCCGATCACGTAACTTTTTCACTCGCCCTCCATTTTACGTGGTTCGGCTTCTACGCGCGTGTCGGATTTAAAACCAAAATGGCAAATTGAACTTTCGACATTTCTTGAAATCAGATTTTCTGTAAGTTGGTACCTCATAATTCGCGTAAAAATTCATGACAGGATTCTAGATATAACGCGTCGCGTGTAATACAGAAATCACTTGAAATAAAAATTAAAATAGATATGTGGAGTACACGTGTCAAAATGCACGATAAATAAAAAGTTGCAGGTAGAATTTTATCTTAAAATTTGACACAAATTCTAGGTTGTCTATAGAAAGTTTAATATAAAAAGAATCAGGCTACGCACACACACACACACACACATATATAAGAGAATCAGGCTACATGTATAAAATATGTGCGAGGAGTGTGAGAATTAGGTTTTACGTGAATAGATATATTGGAAAATCTTTCATTTAGGATAAATTATTTACAATCTATATGTTCTACGACAAGTCATCAATCTCTAAGCTATTTAAAATGTAAGTCCAAATCGATCGGCTATTTTCGTCGAACCCACTTTGGAGAATTCTTCAGATTGATGACGCAAAAAAAAATTCGCTTCTGCGTCATCAATTCTGAGCTCTTTTTCGGATACGAAACCCCAGTGAGAAGCGAATCGTCGAAACGATGTCGAATTGACATCGACACTGTCAAATTGACGTCGATTCGACATCAATTTGACGGTGTCGACGTCGATTCGACATCGATCGACGAGTCATTTCTTACTGGGAGGGAATTCTTTTTATATTCTACGAAAATTTGCATCGCGAAGGGATTCTTTCAAAGCACATTATGTTACTTTATTCATAGAATTTTAAGAAGTAAATTTTTTTTCAACTTCATATCGATTACTCGCGCTATTTGAATGATATCGGAATTCTGATTGAACTGCGTTTACAACTTACACGCGGATATATTTGAGAAATCAAGAGATACACGTACAAATCATTAAAGTACAGTGTATGTAAAAAAGGGGGCATATAAAAATTAACAAATTAATAAAATTCGTATGGCTCAAATGAGATAAACGAAGGAATAAAGGACTAAAGGCTGGTTTATGCAAGACCGTAACCGTTAACTTGTGCCGGAATCGGCTAAAAATTGACCAATTACAGTCAACTATTCACTTCACTTTTAACGGTGATTGGGCAATTATTGCCGATTCCGGCATAAGTTAACAGTTACGGTCTTGCATGAACCAGCCTTAAGAGCCGTGATTCGGTGTTAGTGTCTAAATACTTTATTCTAAGTTTATTGCGAAAAAATATCGCCTCAGAGCCAGGGTTTGAACCTGGACCTGGAATATAAAAATTACCGAATAGAATCTCAACCTGATAACTGCCGCAAGTAAATCGTCTAATAAAGTTCTTATAGAACCGCGTTTTCCACCGTCACAAGCAAACGTGCTTCCGCGTGTGCAAAACATCCTAATTGTACAAGAGCGCCAGTTAAGAAAGCATTGCGAGAGTCACGCGGCACGCGTTCCGTATTTCATGGATCCGCGGCCACCGCGACCGAGACCAAATGTCGAAATAGCACCGGGCCGACGACAAGAGTCGTGACGAATCCCGGCTTCACTTACCAGTAATGCGTATCCGCGGGTGTGCGATATACCTCCAGGGCATGTTCCCCGATCCTTCCTCGCCGGGTGTTGCGAACGTCGCCCGCCGTGCGCGTCGCGTCGCGTCTCGTCGCATGCGATTCGTGATTCACGATACCGCGATTCCCCCGGAGGAGCGAGTTGAATGCACTCTCCTCGGCCTCTCTCTCTATCGGGGGCCTCTCTACGCGCGCTTCTTGCCGTGCCGACGGCCGACCGTACACTGGGCCGAGTGTGCTCACCTGTGCTCACCTGGCTGGCGTAGATCCTGCCAGCGGCAGATGAGAGGACCTGTTCCTTCCGGGTTCTCCGCGCCGATCGCTCCTCGGCTCCTCTCTCGATTTCCGATTGTTTTGCCGTCGCCGCTTCGCTTCGGCTTGTCATGCCTTGACACTCGCTTACACCTGTCGGGCTCTCGGCGGGCTCTTGGCTACCGCGCTTACAATGAAACTCTATCGAAGCGATGTCTATTTAATGATGATTGAAACATGAGACTCCGTTCTCTTCTATTTCCTCCTCCGGCATTCCATTTGCGACTGAAATTCCTCGCTCTCGGGAAGTCAATCGGTGCATTATAACTGCGAATCGGTGAATATTCACTGTTCGCCAGTGATAATCCACTGGCTGACTTTTAGAGAGCGCGTTCGAGCGCTTTGTTCGAAAGCTGCGAGTGCCACGGAATTTCCGTCGGGGGAAAATCAATGCGCCCAAGAAGAATATGCGGCGAAAAACAATAGCCGTTCGATTGCAGGCCAACTTCCCAGCGAGAACACCAATGTCGAATTGACGCTAATGGGGTCGAAACCGCGTCGAGACCGCGTCCCAGCCGTTAGCTTTCGAAAATAATTAAGTTTTGGATTGTTTTTTTTTTTTTATTAAGTCACTACGTCCTGACGTTCTGACTTTTAACGTCTTATTGGAGAGAACTGCCGAGTTAACTCATTTAATACAAAAGGATAAAGTTTCGAGAGTTTTAATTATTCTCGAAAACTGACGGTTGGGACGCGGTTTCGACCCTATTCACGTCGATTCGACGTTAGTGTTCTTGCCGGTTTGGGGCACGAACGTGTGGCATAACGAGCGGTCGAGCAACTCGAAACCTTTTATATCGAAAATCACTATCAAATTGGCGAAAGAGATTGCCTCCTAACAACGTAACCCAAGTGGCCGGTCGAAAGCGAAAGGGACTAGGCATTTTTCTTTTTATCACGCTCGCCGAAGGAAAGAGAGCCGAGGAAACGCACGCATGACAAGGCACGGGACTAGTTCTGGCGCGGCGGCCAGCAAAAATCGTACGAACGCGTTTCATTTTCGATGTGTGTATAGGACATCGCGACTAAACGGGTCCGGCACCTACGAAAGACGCCGTCCTTGCACGCTCACTTGCAGTACATTTCCATGCGAAACGCGTAATCGCATGCCGGTAATCGGTAGATAGATAGATAAGAGACCGTGTTACACGGTAGACGAAAATCCTCGAGGCTAAATGACGAAATTCACATGCAAAACGGATCAATCGAACGGATATTTTGGATAGATTTCACCGCGGATTATTACGGAAGGAAGCACGTTCGAGGACAGATAGTCGGTTCCTCCTTTTCGAATCTTGATAGTCAAATATCGCTGCAACATTATCTCTAATGTCGCAATTAATATCTGCGTTACATCATAGTAGATTCGACAGAGTATCGATTTGCGTCTCATTTACGTAACTCTACAAAAATTTTATTTTATTAACTGCGTAATTGTATATCCTTTCGTCTCGTTACCTTCTCCAAGCTTTTCAGTCGACATTAACGAATTCGTCGAATTGGTGACACCTAGAGACCCTCTAATCAGAGTCTGGACACGCGGTATCCAGCTTTCGATTGGTTCGCCGTGTTTATGATTTTCCCACTGAATTTTGAATTGACGATTTTAATAAACTTTTATAGTCTTACAAACGACAGGTTATCGTGATTGATCTTGATTATTTCGATGCGTATCCCTTTGTCGAGGTGCAATTGCAAAATGGTGCTGCACATCCACCCATTTTTGCAATAAACAGCAAACTCACGCTATTATCAAACTTCGTGCGATGTGCAGTTATATTTTAAGTTACATTTCGATCTGATGGCAGCTTAAAAAGAGAGTAAGATATTCAATGCGCCCCCCCCCCTCTCTCTCTCTCTCTCTCTTTAGTTGGATTTAACTAAACATGGCGGACAACTTGGTTGGCCGGACTCTGATTAGAGGGTCTCTAGTGAGACCTAGAGTGTAGGGAAGACCAGGTTCAAACCCTGGCTGAGGTAATATATTTCGAAATAAATTTTCTGTATCGAAACACTGGCCGATTAATGTCGACTAAAAAGCTTGATTATTGTTATCTATTGCTGGCAGCTTAAAAGAGATTTCTATGTTATTATCTTTCTATTTTATACGCATTATTTTCTGTACATTTAATATTATGTATATATATTCATTTTTTAATAAAGTTCACAAGGCTCTACTGTAAAAACACAAATGCGAAGTAATAAAGGAGTAACAGCCGGGGCAGGATGTTAGTGTCTAAATAATTGTAATTTAAAGTCACCCTGGCTGAGATATTATTTTTCGCAATAGACCTTAAATTAATATTATTTGGACACTAACATCCTGCCTCGGCTCCTATCCCTTTTTTACTTTGTATTATTTATTTTTTGTTTTTTTAAATAAATAACTACTTCAAATAAATAATCAAAACAATCATTAAATAGATAAAAATGCCTTTTTGCTACAATAAAACACGCATATGACTGCTCTCCAATTTACGACAATATCATAAGGCTAATGGAATTGATACGAAACAATAATATAAGGATCATTTCTCTTGATTTGCCGGGGAAAGTAAATTATTGAAAAGCCGGCCACGACAAGACAAAATGCAGCGATACGCTCAGAATCAATTGGCTTAGGAATCTCGCGACTTACTCTCTTCTACCCGCGGCGTAGAATAATAATGCGACTCTTACGTGGAAACGAGGTTGAAGAAAGGAGAGTGTGCAAGTTGAACATCAAGAGAAACGATATGTGGAACTTCTTTCGCGCTATTTATCTCCCCGAACTAATTAAACAAACTATTGTCTGGAGCTTATCAAAGTCTTGTAAAACGTTTTCTGCTTTTACACACAATTGGAAAATTTGTGTTTTCTTGTTAAAAAGAATGCCGGTTCAAATTTTTGTGTTATACATATGTTTAACACATTCATGTGTTAATTTAACATATTGCTCTTGTGTTAATTGACCTCAAATGTAAAGTTATTAAAATAACCGAAAAGAAATGTTAAAACAACACAATGTGTACTTACTTTTTAATCTTACACAACACATATGTTCTATATTATTTGTAACAAGATTTATCTGTTAAAATTTACAGAATAAAATATTGATTTTATTCTACTAGAAATGACAAAACGCGCGCTTTGCGCGCGCAGTTTGTAGTCGAGCATTGTATACATACATATTTGTAAGAATTTGTATACATGCAAGTAATTGTATGCGCAACGTCAATTTAAAATAAAAAGTACTTTGCCACTCACTGATAAGATTTGCAACAGCAGAGTTATACATCGTCAACAGCATATGTACATTAAATTAACACAAAAATTTGTGTGGACCGTTTGAGACATGTGATATCTGTTAAATTTAACACAAATTTTTCAACTGTGGTAACTTCTCTCTTTGCAACAATCGATACTTTACAAAAATTACAAAAACAGTAGAGGAAAATCCTCTATTATACGAGATAGGCTTCTGATATGAAACAGCAGGTTTTCAACATCCAAATTCAATCACACATTTTTCTCGCAACAATTGCGCGATATTTAACAATGAATTTTCCACTAAAGAGATTTCACTCCAAAGGCAATAAATTCACGATAAAACCAATAGATGATGCCTATTAATTTAACAGAAATCCAACTATCCCATATTACGATCCTATCTCATAATAGGGAACTTCCCTTTACATATTATTCTTGACTCATTTGCCCAAATATGCTCGATAAGATCGATGGCCTACGATAGCGTTCACTTTTTACCGTAACCACAAGTGTCGAGGGAGCGTTGAAACACTACAAAAATTGCTCAATTAGTCACACTACAAAGTCCGCTAAATTAAACTGAATCCTCCGAAAATTGATAAGTTCAATTTATCCACTTTCTTTCTGCATTACCATGTGCTACCAATTTTACTTTCTTACCGTTCACCGTTAACTACAACCTTCGTCCGCAGCTATGTGATTCTTACGACCGCCAGATGGCACTACTCTCGCTCGAGAAACTGCCTGTCTATACTTTTCTTTACTACTCGCAGTTTGTTCTGCATGTGTCATCTGCGTGTGTCAAAAACGACACCTCGGCCGTGTCGGACTCGTTCGTGAATCGAGCTCCTGTGACAATAAGAAGCAGAAGGTAAACGATACCTCACCAAGATTCCGGCTAACACTCCGCGTCGTGTCCGAACAATTTGCGGAATCGCGAGAAATGGCGGACCCCAAATACGCTGATTTACCTGGAATCGTACGTTTCCTTTACATTTCTTAGGGCCCGGGCAGAATGGTTGTCTTGTTTCGAATCTTTGCCCTAAAGTAACGCACAATAACTTGTCTCGCGGCTTAAGAATACAAGACGGCCATTCTGCTCAGGCCCTTACGTTCATTGATGGTCTCGTGTGTCGAATGAAGACATTTTTATATACGCTACTTGCAATGCCTTAGGCGTACGACCAGCTCGACGTATACGAGACGAGCGATCTGCCGGAGTCGGAGCAAATACGAATGTATTGCGAGGTAAAGAACCCGAGTCTACATTGCGTGTGTTGCCACAATCGTTGTACCAATTGGTGATCGATTTGTTCAGGATGAGCCCGACAGCTCTTGCGTGGAACAGCTGCACATCAGTGCCAAGGAAGCGTTCGGCAAGTTCAAGGGCAAGCAGATTATCGGGAAGCCGGTCGACTTCTCAGATCGTCTGTCCAACAAGCCGAGAACGGGATACAAGTAGGCGGTTCTGATGCTCGACAACATCCTGCACACAGAACCATGTATTATAACCCGAGTATTTTCAGATTCGGCGATTGGGAACTCGTCGGCGAGGGCGAGAAGGAGACACCCCTTCAGAAGTTCCAACGACTGCAGTGTGAAGTTAAAGAGCTGTACGAAGAGGTGAACGAGCTAAAGGTGAACCCGTCATTGTCCATGAAACTGTGCTAAGATCATTCTGTCGTTCGTAATGACATTAACACGTACAACGGTGGTGTACATAGGAAAAATCGAAGGACCAGGAAGAGGTCAAGTCCGCGAGCGAGATCATTTCTCAGGCGCGGCAGATAGAAAAGCAGTTGGTGTCTCTGAAGCTGGAAGAATGTCTAGGGCCTGACATAGTCGCGAGTCTGTCGGATCCGCAAGGCACTATACTTAAGTACGAGTGAAATTGAAGACCTACAATCTGTTGTAAATCGACTGATCTCTTTCGCTGGGTCGTATCTCGATTGTACGCAATTTCTGGTTTCTTTTTTGTGCTTAAACTCACATTCTGGTCCGGAAAGAGCGTTTAAGCGCAAAAGTCAGAAATTGCGTTAAATCGAGATGCGTCCTTGCGAAAGAGACCAGTCCGGATGTTCTTCCCTCTGCAGAATTATTTTACAGAGTTAAATTAATGTTACACAGGCAATTGGTATCGCAAATAGAACTGTTTAAGCAGACCAGCGTGCCTCCATCCAAATTACCGGACAGTAAAAAGAAGGACGAATCGGTCGAGCCTAATGTCCTAAAGTATCAGATGATGTACTTGCCAGAAAAGGCGAGGATGCAGGAAGCCGCGAGAATCGCGCAGCTTGAGCAGAGACTCTGCTGCCTAGAGAATATCGTGGGGACAAGTAACGACAAGCTGTCGAAGTTCTCGCAAGTAGGATTCGTTATAACTTCTCGTGCGTATGCATTTCGAATAATTCTGACCCCTCCCCCCCTTCCTGTTTTTTGTACAGAATCTCAAGTGTGAAGGCGTAATGGAAGCTGTGCAACAACTGGAGGCAAAGGCCGCGTTGTTGGATGTTAATCAATTGGACACCATTGAAACGAGATTGGGCACTTTGATTTACCGGATGGACAGCATCGCGCAGAAGAGAGCGACGACGGAACAAGAATCGGAGCAAGAGCAAAAGGTGAAACACCAATCGGGTGTTAAAATCAGCATTACATTACGTCTCGCGTAATAAACCCTTTTTTTTCGTCCTTCCAGATTTCAGAGATGTATGAAATAATGAAGAAAACGGATGCCGTGTCGCAAATACTACCGCAGACAGTAGAAAGATTATTGGCACTGAGTGACATTCATCAACAAGGTATAATTGTGTGACGAATGTGTGCTTGTACAGAAGAGAAAGTAACATTCTAAAAGGACGCATCTCGTGTTTCAGCCGCGGTCTTCAGTAAATCTCTAATAAAATTAGAGGAACTGCAAGTCGAAATCTCGTCTGGATTAGAAAGTAACAAGTCCCTGCTGAAGGGAGTGCAGGAAAGCTTCGCCTCCAATATGGAGGTTATAAAAGGCAATATAGCGTTGCTCGACGAGCGTATCAAAAAGCTCACCAAGTCATCAAAATAGAGGTGTTAAAATCTGCCTAGCGCACCTAGATCGATTTATGAAGATCGCCTTACTCGTAGCATTTATACTTGTATACCACGTTGAATTATTTATTTGATGATTTATAAATTCTATATACTTCGTTTTGTATCCAACGATTATTTCGTCGCTGTTCTCAAAATATTCTGCTGCTATATTCGACTTCTGTAACTAATCTAACTGCTGAAAGGACAAGTCTGCTAAAATCGTTCAGCTATACAATTGCACGAACGCAAGAAATGCAACTTTGTACGATAAAATAAAACTGAAACTTCGGTAAAAAAAAAACTTACAACTTTTATTGAACACTGTGTATGATGCGGATATAGGAGAGTCGACGAGTGTTACGAGGTATAACTTAAGTATAAGTTATTTAAGCTAAGAGTCAAATAAAATGATAATAAAAAACATATAAAGGTCCAGTATATATCTTTTACATAGGATAATGTGACGGAAAAAATTTGTATTCACCTCTTTTCACATCTGTGTATCAGACTTTTATTTAGAAACAATTAGAATCTTAATTTCTGGAAAAACCACTTGTTTTTACCGTTTTTATACCTGAAAGAACAATCGAGATTAGACAATACGGACTGCGACTGCGACCCTGGAATTTGCGGTAACGACAGAACGTTGAGCTACGTACCTCTCCTCGAATTTGACGCGCGTCTGAAAGCGAACCTTCTTGCGCTTCATCGGGTCCTTGAGATCTTTAGGAGCCACTTTTTCCAACTGTAGGTCTACCGTGTATCTCGTTGGCATTAGGTGGTTGTAATTTAGGATCTAGAATTTATAAATACAGATTGAGATCCACGATCGACGCAACAACGGCAAAAGTTGCACGACCGAGACCTTGGAGTCGAGTCAATTCCAAGCTTCCGAACAAAACCGGCGAGAGATTAAACCTCACCTTAACGAAGGGCTTGATTTTAGAACGTTTATGCAGCTTGCCCTTCCCCATCCTTTTGTGGACTTTGCGCGGGTACCGGTCGATGCCTGCAACCATAGCATGCCCGTATTGTTTCTCCGCTGTCCCCTCATCGTAATTGCGCATGACGATGGCTTTCCTTCCCGCGTACCGGCCGCTGAGGACCAGCACGACTTTCCCTATTTTCATAATTTTCACCATATTGATGGTGTACGCTAAAAAAAAGAAACAAAGGGGTAAATTACCAGGGAGAATCACTTGGAGTACGAACTTATATTCGAGCGAGTTTTTCCGCAGGATTCCGCAGGACCAGACACGTCGGCGCTGTTACTTTTCGTCCGAGGCAAGTCGCGTCGCGAGACAAATCCCTGCTGGCGATGTAAACATCTTAGAACGAGCGTCACATAACCTCTCGTACCTGCGCGAGAGACGGATTTCTAATCCCAAGGGAAAAAAAAGAAAAGGGAATCGAAGGTGACGCGCCGCGCGGCGTGTCGCGCCGCGAGAAGTAACGAAATCGCGCGAGATCGACGACAGCCGCGCGATCGGCCGCGGTGCGCAACGTGGGACCCGGTCCGTAGAGGTTAACCCCGCGATTGTCTGTCAATAAGCATTGCTCGAGGACACGCGGGAACAAATATCGGCGCGCGAACGGAGCCGGCGACGTACGCCGATCGCGTACGCGGCGCGAAACGCGGCGGAAAAACTCGCGAAACGCCCGATGCCCGCGGATTATTCCGCGCAGCGGCACGCAACACAAACCTCACGGCTTTTTCGTACCGCACGAAAGGAAGTTAACCACGCTGCCGCGCCACGGACTCGCGGAACGACAGAGCCGCCGCGACGCATCCGCCGTGGTCGGTCCTCGTGCGCAGGCGCGTCCAGTCTGCGATACCAACGGCCATTGGCCAAGTAGTTCGTCGCCGCCACCGCCGCTAGCGTTCGCGATCGACCGGTGATTTCAAATTTCCTAGCGTCGCATTGAAATCATATTCAATGAAATTCCAGATCTGACCAATCATAGCGCAGGGTCATTTTAATCTGGTTCAATCAGCGCAGGCGCTCGCCGAGCGCGCAGTGTTTTCTCCGCTCGTGCGCGGCCATTGGTTCCGGGCGTGTGTTTTCTAAATTCGCGAACGACCGTCTCTCTACACTTCGTGATTCACGGCTGCGCTTTTATTGCCGTGCAATTGCAGCGACGCACGTAATCGGGGATTCCGGGGTGTCAAATATACGCGCGTTCCCCTGCGCTGCGCTCGACATGCGGCGTACTCGCCGCGGACTCTGATCGCGTTCCTCGTGGTGATCTCTCCCTCGCTCTTCCGTCGACAATTCGTCGGCGAGTCGCGCCGTCGTTCACGCCGCCTCTTCTCGCCCCCGTAGACTTCCTTCGCGTGACTTCTGCCGAACGGAAGCGGACGTTCTCGCACGATGGTCAAGTACTACGAGAACACCACGGTCTTTAAGTTCGATTGGACGCAGGTGGTGCAGGGGTTCTTTCAGAGATATCCCAATCCGCACAGGTAACCGGACGCGCGTTACGTCACGTGCGTTATCGGGACACAAATATTACATAATACCGAGCGTACGCTGGTTCGGCGGGGCTCACGCACAGGCGCGTGTTTCCAGCTCGCACGTTCTCACCGAGGACACGATCGCCAGAGAAGTCACGAACGGCAAGCTCTACTCCAAGCGATTGCTGACGAAGACCAACAGAGTGCCGAAATGGGGTGAGAGATTTGTCAGTAAGAGCACCGTCAAAATCGTGGAGGAGAGCATCGTCGACCCGGAGGCCAAGACCTTGACCACCTACACGAGGAACTTGGGATACACCAAAGTCATGGTAAACGAATAAACCGCGAGAAAGTAGGAGAGTAAAAGTGCTCTCTTCAAAGCGCCACATTTTCTAATGAAATTTAACACGTTTGAACTCAGTGTTGTGTACATAGAATCTAACTTATAAAATTAACCTTTAGTTAAACTCGGAGACTTGTTAGGAGTCAGAACTGTATGCCGATCCTTTTTCTTTCTGGGTGAAAGAAAAAGAAGCAATTGTACAGCTCTGATTAACGACTCGCAGAGCAGGTTTCAGAGACTACTTCTTTGAGCTATCTCGTATTAATGTCAATCTTATATCATTTGCTTCTTTAAAACGTTTACAGATTGTTAATTCTGAAATAATAAGCAATTATGTCATGCTTGTCGACCAATCGTGTAGGTTTCTAATAAAATTGTAATTTGCAGAGCATTGTCGAGAAAGTGGTATATCAGATCTCCGACGAGAATCCAGAATGGACAATTGCCAAGAGAGCGGCGTGGATCGACAGTCAAGTCTTCGGTTTCAGCAGGGCGATTCAGGCCTTTGGCTTGGATCGATTTAAGAAGAATTGCGTCAAGATGTCGGAAGGCTTTAATTATGTCCTCACGAATATGTTTCCTCACACGACACAGTTTCTAAATCCTAATTTAGGGCAGACGAGCTTCTCCATGCAAGCCGGCCACAGCACGGCGGACGACGGCGCTACGACAAAGCCAAGCCTCGCGGAAGACTTGCAGCATTCTTTACAGGGTAGAGCGGAGAAGGTGAAAGACGCCGCTAAGAAAGCCACGGACTTGGCGAAAGAAAAGGCCAGACCGATATACGCGGCTTGTCAGCCGAACCAAACGTAAATTTCCGCAAATGCGAAGCGCAAACAGCTGTACCGTTGGATGTGATCGATATCGTTTAACAACAGAAAATATTCACGGATAACACTATATTATTGTGATCTTAAACGAGACGATGGTAAAGCTTTAGGGACTAGTGCGAAAAATGCAGTTGCAGTTGTACATTAATGAATTGGCACAGTTTAATGACAATTAGTGTGAAAAGAATTGGAAAATTGGTTGGTAACAATGAAACGTTGAGATCTGCCAGGTCTGATAGCACAAGATTCTCAGAATGTTGTAACATTTACACATGTGTAAAATTTGCTAAAGATATTCGCGTCTGACCCACTTGTATATTACCATTCCTTTTTTAACTGCCAAATTGTCAAGTGTGCTATCAAATATGATACATACATGCACAGAGATGCGCATTAAATTACTTAATCTTTTTTTTACACGCAAATAAACATTTTCTATTTCTTTTACAATCACAAGATATTATCTCTCGCGTAAAGTATTAAGCGTCAGAAGCATTTGATGTGCTTGTGATGTGTATTGCAGCGTTCGTTCATTCGCGCATTGCGCGCATACCTAAAGCTCGCAACTGAAAATTGTAAAGAACAGCATTTCGTATGCAATTAACGCCAATGAAAGCAGTTACGTTACAAATATACATTCAAAGGGATAGTTTAATGAATTATCCTTCTTCTGTTAATGTAATAAATATAGTATAAATATAGCCTCTAGATATTCCGCGTCTCGGCACGGATAGTGTATTGACCAATGCAAGTTTTTAGAAGACTTAATTTCATATAATGTTAATATGTATATTGTTTCTTGGATTCTTCTATCGTAATTTAATTTCATATAATGTTAATATGTATATTGTTTCTTGGATTTCTTCTATCGTGATTTCAGCATACGTTTCTACAATGATTAGAACTGTGATTTAAGATTGTTGCACAGTATTTCTACACTTTAAACGTCTCTGTTCGAGCTGTTATTTAAAAAGTCCAAATTATTATTAAACTTTGGCGGTGTAATTGAGTGAAAGTTTCACAAGGTGTAACTTCTCTTGTTTAAATAAAGCTTAAACTCCCTTTCTAACTTAGAAACCTAAACGTTTTTATTTAAAAAATATTTTACCCGTGACCCTCGTGCAGTCCAGGGATACGCTACTAATAATGCTATAATGTTTGAAAATTAAATTGGAATGAGCAACGCGGCATATTGCAATTAACAGTTATCGAGGTTGATGGTGCTACTCGTAGACATAGTAAATACAGACTGAGCGTGAACCCATTGAATAAGCTGAAGCCTGGCGAGAGAGAGACAGAGAAGATTTAAGAAGACTTTCTTTCTCTGTCTCACCATCGAGACAAAGGAGACGCAGGCACGATCCTTTTCTTTTACGATTGTGTAAGACAGAAAATGAAAGTCACGGAGTGCGTTCCGTTTCACGCATGACGCACATGATGCATCAGTTATCCTTGTTATTTACCCGATGTTAAATAAAGATAAATGATGCATTATGTGTGAAACGGAACGCTCCTTTAAATCTCTCTCTCTCTTCACAAGCTTCAGCTTATTCAATAGGACGCCCAGTCTATAGGCTTGTTTTCTATTGTTACACTGGTGAACTAGTGCAATAAATTAGAGTAAGACGAGTATATTTTTTCTCATTCTAGTTTACTGCACTAGTTCACCAGTGCAGCAATAGAAAACAAGCCTTATATATTTACTATGTCTATAGTGCTACTCAAAGCTCGAGTGCTTCGAGTATGTACAGTAATTTTTTTCTAACCATCTGTTACGTTATACATTGCGCATATTGAAATAAAAGAACGGAAACTGTATCTAAAATGACTGAAATTATTATACGTGTGTATACTTAAAATAATGGCTGAAGAGAAACCTGAGAGCGCCCGCGCCGGCGTTTTACTTGATACCGTTTCGGGAGACTGTTTTGCGCGTCCTTAAGGAGATGCTGGAGTGATTCTGCACTTTTGCACCTTTCTAACCTAAAAACTGTCAGTTCGCGGAAACATTTGTGTAATATACAAATTAAATGGCTTACGTGTACAGATCGAAAGCAGCTCGCTATTCCGGCCAAATGAAAGAACAATATGGCATCACTGAAACTAAGTTTGTAAGTCTAATAAGAAATAATAGTGAGCAACACATGCATACAGTACGTGTGGTATGTGTGTTGCTCACTATTATTTTTTATTAGACTTACAAACTTAGTTTCAGTGATGCCATATTGTTCTTTCATTTGGCCGGAATAGCGAGCTGCTTTCGATCTGTACACGTAAGCCATTTAATTTGTATATTACACAAATCTTTCCACGAAACAGACAGTTTTAAGTGCAAAAGGTGCGAAAGTGCAGAATCACTCCAGCATCCCCTGAAGCCCGTATCAGACTACGGATTGAGATTGAGATTAGATTGTTTGATCAATCACAGTAAAGTTTACTAATCTCAAGTTTATGTAACTTTGAAATTTGACCAAACGGAGTAAAAGTTACTGAACTTGAGATTAGTAAACTTTACTGTGATTGGTCAAATTTCAATCTAATCTCAATCCCAATCCGTAGTCTGATACGGGCTTCGCGCCCATTTTTACTTTTGGAACTACTTCATTACGCATTTTCTGACTCCGCCGATAAAATTTTCACTTTGCGCATGTCTGCGCTGTGCATTCTGACATCTAATTTATTATAAAATTTACATTGTCCACATGAGAAAAGTTGATGTAAATATCGTGCAGATAATTTATGTTAATGTAATTTTGAACTTCACAGCACAATCCTGAAAAATAGGCGTAGCTTGAACGCGCACAAAGTGGTGACTTTATCGGCGGTGTCAGAAGATGCGTAGCAAAATAGTTCGAAAAGTAAAAACGGGCGTAAAGGCGCGCAAAACAATCTCTTGAAACGATATCAAAGTAAAACGGTGGCCCGCTATCAGGTTTCTCTCTGATGGTACACTAGGTCGCTCAGATGTTTCCGAACGCGGCCTTACGTGAAATGAAACGTGTAGAACGATCGAAGTACATAACCGAATTAAAACCAGCCCTTTTTACAGAGAAACAGAATCACGTAATTTTCCCCCAAGAATACGCGTTCGCCGACTCGTTTTAGCTTGTTGGCGAATTTAGCTTCGATCGTAAACTTGCGGATTCAAACGAAATGCAATTTGCGTCGTGGACACGCTCGTAGGATAGACAGGGAAAGAATGAAAAAGAAACTCGTTGGGTAATTTAAATCCAGGCCGTCGATCGAGCCTTATTAGGAACTTGATCGGTCCAGCCATCGCTGGGATGCGGTAACTCGTGCTGGATCAGCTGACTCGCGCGAAGGCTCGATCTCGCTCGCGCGTCGCTGGTGGCTGGCACGTGCGAGACTGGAACACTTGACACTGTCTCCCGATCATGGCCTCGTTACACGTAAATCGCACAGTTGGTGATACTACAGCACAGTTTTTTTCATTAATCGAGAGACTGCTCTCGTTAACCAGCACGAAGCTCAGCGATAAGAAACAGATCAACGTATATTTGAACGATCTCAACGAGCTGGACTACAGATGCCTCGATATTGTAAATAATGACGTAAGGATTACATATGTATTCATTTTTATATTAATTTTGTCTCAAACTGCTTTCTTGCCAGTCCGTTGAGATTACAGTTTGATCCACTTGCAGGCGGTGCTACTGTTGGTGAATCAGCTTTGCGCGATTGTACTACCAACGGAAACGTCCCTGGTCCGAAACGTTTGTAAATTTCTGTACAATCTGACGCAAAGTAACATCAAGCTCCACGGCCGGACGTTCGCCACTTGCAAGCGATGGATCTTGGAAGCGTTGGAATTTTCCGAGCCACTGGCACAAGTCGACGTGTTGCTCGCCATAAAAAGCTTTTTACACTTTGGATATTTTGATGACGTCAATCACGTTAGTATGCGACTTCTTCGCCGACAGATTATTAAATTGGTGTGTCGTTAAAACTAGGTAACTCCTTTTTATGTTTCAGCATGTACGACTGTTGCTCAGGAATAAGGGTTTGTTAATAAAGCATTTAAATCCGTTGTGTAACCCATGGTCTGAAATCAATTTTCACGCCCTTGGGTGTCTAGAAGAAATGGTAGTGAACAAAAGTAGCGGTTACTGCTTATCGGACGAGTTTACGTGTTTGATAAGAGATATAATTTTTAAGATTCTGTCACTCCTGCCGTACCATAGCGACGATAAGCTTTACTATAGTAAAGTATGTGATTTAATTTTTCTGCGCAGTTTAAAAATGTGCCTCGTCAAATTACGTATCGTTTACAGATTATAAATTCGTGCTTGCACATTTTGCATTGCATGATTTCCGAAAAAATGATCCCCAGCTCTCCCGACTTCGTTGGAGAGATATTGGGAGTGGTGCAAGCGTTTCTGTTCTACGGCATCAAGGGTTACTCGGTTGCGAGGCCGCAGTTACTTCGTCCAGCCGCAATGAATCTACCGGAGCGCGTTCACGTGGTTCCCAAGTGCAAGAATCTGAAGAATCACAAGGCGAAGCCCAAGAAGGCACCGGCCAGGAGAACCGACGCGGGAAACAATGTTCTACCGGAGCACACGGGAATTTCCAAATATTCCAGCGACTCGGACACCTCCGACACAGAAATTAATAATTCTGCCCATATCGATTCCAAAGTAAGATTAGGAGCTGTACGCTTACTGCAGACTCTCACAGAAATCACGCAGAGCCGAGAGATCTTCGGGTACTGGCCGCAAATCGTGGCCACCGGTTCACGAAACGACGTGCGAGTATTGACGAGAAGTATATTGGTTGAACCTGTGCCTAAAGTACGACAGAACGTATTGAGTTCGTTAACGGAACTGCTGATAGGCGCTAAACCATTCTTGATACACGCCGAAGACACCAATCATACCTCCTTCATTACGTTCTTCGGCACGGTGTGTTTAATGGTCAAAGAACTGCATTTTACGTTATCGTTAATTTTGCTCACCGAAAAGAACGTAGCCGTGTTAACGCACGCGTTAAAGTGCACGGCAGCTCTTGTGCAGGGCACGCCGTATGAGCGATTGAAACTTGGCTTGGCCACCAAACTAGTTAGGAATTGTAAGCCGCACATATTTCACAAAGGTACATCACACCCTTATTACTCTACGTAACTTTTAACTTGTCGTTACAGCTAAGTTGTTCTTTTAGATCCGACTGTACGCGTTGCGGCGCTATCCATTTTTGAAGCATTTGCCTCGAGCGAACCCATCACACAGGAAATATTAAGTATATTGGCTAAACAAACTATGGGTGGAACAGGGCCGGAAAGGTCACAGCTCGATACCGGTGCCACGAGCGATGTTGGAACGGAAGAGGAGGAAATAGACATCGAGGACATGGAAAATTCGACAGACCGCTGTAGCGAGATTACGTCGATGTCGAAAGACGAAAGCATCTGTCTGCTAATTCGCATTTGCTTAGAAAATATATCCAATAAGGTATTGCGTGATTTACGCTTGCAGCTTTTTTGTAACTAAAGCAGTCAAACGGAAAAATTAACGTTTACCCAATTTCAGTCGGTTAATACACCTGTGCGACTTCAGTCTTTAAAACTCCTGGGGAGGCTGGCATTTAACACGGGGAGTCTCGTGTATCCTCATCTGGAGAAAGTGACCGCGACCTTAATCTCGATCATGGGAGAATCGGAGAGCCAAGTGGTGTTGCACACATGCCGGGTTTTAGAGATTATGTCCGGCTGTCTCGGAAACACCGAGACTTATCATAACAACGGCATATTATTTTGGGACATTATATTTGAATCTATGATATCACTCGCCCAAACGTCACAGACCATATTGCGAGAAGCCGCATGCGATTGCCTAGGCAGCATCAGTGGAAATGTATTCGCGCAATTATCGGTAAGAATATAAATGGGGATAAAACGGAGGGATCTAATCGTTCAAATGCTTACCTTTTTTTCTCTCGAAGCAATCGCATTCCACGCGTACTTGTTAAAATATACAGTATTTCCACGAGCTGAGTACTTCGTGTGTATTCTGTAATATTTTGCTTATGTTCACTTTGGTTTATATATTTGCAGAGGCAAAGAATTATATTAATAATTACAATACTGTTTGGGGCAGTTCGCGACGAGGAAAGCGCTGTCAGGGCAGCAGGCTTGCGTGCGTTAGGGATGTTGGTAACTTTATCGGCGTTGGAATGTGACACGGGCTTCCTCGTGGATCTGGCTGATACGGTTTGCGCAGCTTTTGAAGACAAGAATCTCGGTGTTCGCGTGAAGAGCGCTTGGGCATTGGCGAATTTGTGCGACTGTCTTTCGAGGCAAAAGTTTGTCTTTTAGACTTTCTTCCTTCCTTCACTGTCTCCTTTACATTTTTTTCTATATATATATCTCTCTCTCTTTTTTCAGACAACACGAGGAAGTAGAACCATTTCCTCTAGAAGATCTGTTACCTAAGTTGTATCATATAAGCGTCAAGGCTGCGAAAGACAATGATAAAGTGAAGTGTAACGCCGTGAGAGCAATTGGAACCATTTTATATCTGTGTCCACAGAAGCACATACTTTCCGATACAACATTGGGACTGGATGCGCTGATTAAATGTGCTGTTTTAGGAAACGATATGAAAGTAAAAGCCCTAATAATTTTACAAGTAGTTTAAATGTATTATTATATCTTAATTCCTATAATCATATATGTAATATTAATTCATATAAAGAATTAGTTATTTATAATTAAATCTCGGTTGCTCGTGCGTCCAATATTTATTATTCAACGTCTACATGGTAAAATATCTTACTGCAATAAGTAAACATGTCTCGGTCTATTTACAATAAAAACATCTTTTACTTATTTGTAACGTTAGGTACGGTGGAACGCTTGTCGAGCTTTAGGATTGGTTTTGAGTCACGATCCAGATGCGATATTGCCACCTTCCTGGAAGGTATGTACTTGGAAAGAAAAGTAATCGGCGAGTTTACCTCGTGGGAATTTATAAAATCAGGTGTTTTTCTAGGATCAAGTATTTCCAGAACTTTGTACCTTGATATGTAACAGTCCAAATTTTAAAGTGCGCACCAACGCCGCATGGGCACTGTCCTCGTGTAACTGTTACGACAAGTACACTGTGATGTTGTGGAAAAGTATTGTATTAGCATTCGAAAATGCTCAACATGTCCCAAGTTACGTTGAATATCCGCATCGAGACGCACTCATTCAGCAAGTAAGAACGCTTCCTCAAACTCGTATCAGACTACAGATTGAGATGGAGATTAGATTGAAATTTAACCAGAGTAAAATTTGCTAAACTTGAGATTAGTAAACTTCACTCCGATTGGTCAAATTTCAATTTAATCTCAGTCTCAACCCGTAGTCTGGTACGGGCTTTACACATTCTTGTTGATATTAACACAATTATACTTTCAATCATTACTATTTAACAAATTGATTATATTATTAGCTGTGCCTTACTCTTGCTCGTGTTGCCGCCTGCACAGAGAAATCTGAACTGCAAAGTCTTTGGATCGAGATTGGCGACCACGTGGAAGAAATTTCCAATTTTATGAAGCAGTTTCAGGTATAGCGTGCGCGTTCCACATAAAAATATAACTGAAATCAAGCGTAATACATATCAGGATTTCTATGTATTGAAATATTATTGTAGGAGACTGTTCTACCTGAGAAGCTGGGAGATCTAATTAAGGCGAAAGCCCAATTGGAACAACACGCGAGAAATACATGTTCCGTCGAAGAACGACAAATCGCTCAATCTTTGGCAAATATATTCGAGAGAACTAATCGTTACGACAACCTAGATGCCATTACCTCTGCAATGTAGATTTGTATAACTAAAATAACAAGAAGTAAAATAATGCAATGTCTTTTCTAACGTGCCCATCTCTGCCAGCTGTTTGTCGCAACTTTTGCTAGTGGAGAAAGGAAGCTCTCGATAATGTATCAATTGATATTTTAACACGGCTCATAAAAACTCAAAATATATATAAAACTTGTACTAGAACGGTATAGTACAATATATAATTCTAATCGTGGACGAGTAAACTGATAAATAATACATTGATCATATATATACAGGATGTCAAATTCGTTTCTGACCACTCCAAAAATTATGGCACCCTGTATATAGACTGTTTGCTTTGGACACTCGCATGCTGAAACTGTCATTCTTTAACATTCAATGAGCAACACACTAGTGTCTAAGATGAACGCAGCCATAATCTCAAATTTAACGAGAAACATCAAAATGTCAGTGCACACGTCATGTGCCGCATTGAACGTTTTCACTTGATATCTCGGGTGGAGTCTTTGATGTATCGTCTCGACTTTCCTCTGCAGGTGACGACGGTTCCTTCTCTGTCACCTTCGCCTCACTTTCATCAGTAGACACACTTTTGGGAGAACTGTTGACATTTTCTACGCTACTTTCCACAGTCCTGGTCTCTTCACTCTCGTCCGAACTGTCGCTCTCGCTATGCTTTTCTTCCACGACGGCGTTGTCCTCCTTCTTAGCTTTCATACGTTTCTTCAGCTTACGCCCCTGCTTCTTCTTCAATCTCTTGGCGCGTTTCTTTGCCGTCACCTCCTCTGCCAATCTTTTGTTCTCTTCCAGCTTCTGGTGGTACTCGTCGTCCAAAAGCTCCTACAATTTTGACAAATGAGACATTTTTTAAACGGAGGGAAAAACGTCGATGATCCCACCTTGTGCGCTTTCTCCTGAATGAATTTTTGTCGCGCGTACTCTTTGCGCCGTAGATGTCTGTACACGTGAAACTCGCCACTGCCCGCTCCAGCACTGCTACCCATTACGTTACGAACGAATTCTGGTACGGAGGGTGTATTCTTGGCCTTCGGACGATCCGGTAGTATAATCGGTTTGTCCTGTGCAGTTGAGACGCAAATTAATACAAATTCCGATGCCGCGACACATCAGAACGGCAGATACAACCGGTAGACTTTCGACGCAAATACTTACTACGTTCTTCATTAGCTTCATCAGCTTTAATCTCTGCAGATCCACAGCCGTTTTCGGCACCACGGGCTTCTCCTCGTCCTCCTTGTCCGACATCTTTTCGTCTAGTTAAAAGTTAGACTTCGTGGAAAATTGAACAAGGCTCGATACAAACCCTCCTCGCCCGCACAGACTTGTTGGTTAACTCGACGACAACAAACCGCGGGCAAACACCATAAGGTGCCTTTTCATACGCAGCATGCAGCAGCAGCAAATTAGTCACGTGATCCAAATTCACTACAGCATATTTGCTGCTCACGGAAAAGGAATAGCTGCAGCAGCACTGGCCGGCTAGATCGCGTGTCTGCTGCTTTGCTGTTCGTTCAATTGAACTTCACAGCGATGAAGCAAAATATGGTGAAATTTATTTTGCAGCATCTAGTAACAATTCTTCAACCAATAGCAGCGAGTTGCTGCGGCAGTATGCTGCGCATGAAATGGTACCTATAGACTCTCTCGTCTTCAGCTCTTAAGGCCTGTTTCCACGATGCTAGAACTTGTGGTCCAATTTCTAGCTCCGAGAAATGTGTGGCCAATCAACGTGCAGCTTATATTAACAAATTACATCGGTGAATTTCGGAACGCATCCTCGATCAGTTACCGGTTGATTATCGATTGCAAGAGACAGCTGAGCACTTGGATTGGAAAACATTTGTCTCGGCATACGCAAGGAAGCAATCGGAAATTGTGAAACCTATCAAAGTGTAAAATAATTATCGCAAATTAGGTACGTGCAGCATCATCTGCTAACACCGAGCATACATGTACACATACGTTTTTCATCAAATCGTCCCAGGAATTGAGAGAACACAATAGTACAATTAATAGTATTGTGTCATCGGGCTTGTTTTCTGTTCCTGCACTGGTGAACTAGTGCAGTAAGCTAGAATGAGAAAAAATATACTTGTACTCCAATTTATTGCACTAGTTCACCAGTGCAGGAACAGAAAACAAGCCCCTTGTATCGCGCGCGTCTCCTAACCTGCGCGTATTTTTGTCACCGTGTGAATAATATTATATTTTACGTAAAACAAATCATTTCTGCCCATCTGGCTTTGTAATAATAAATGAATGTTAAATTATAAGTATAATTAAAGTCACATGTTTTTTTTTTATAATGACCCCCAAAGAAAAATTTATGAATCCTTGTTTATGCCTTGTCAAAATGTTAGATGATACGTGTACATATATACATGGGGGATACCGAGGACTCGACTATGGATGATTCAGTCGTGGACGTCTCGCCACTCAATGTAATAGATGTTATCGATTTAACTAAAGACTCGCCATCAGGATCGGTTAGATCTAGAAGACTACGCCAGAGAAATGCGGAAGGTGCAAATGCAGAGGATTCTAGCCGCAATACAGCTAACAGCTTAAGCCATCATAGAGGGGCCGATCCCCCTATTGTTTTAGGAAGCGTGTGGGATATTCCAACATTCGTGTAATTACTTCTTTATTTCTCGGCGAAAGCAGGCGGAGGATTTATTATCTACAATTAAAGAAATATCTTTTCAGAGAAATCCCTAAAAGGAAGAAAAGAACGCGTACCGCAAATTTGAACGAAACCTTGACCCTCGACACTACCAAAGATGACAAAGAATATTACACAGTTCAGTCGGATAATAGAGAACAAATTCCCTTAACGTGCCCAATATGCCTTGAGCCGCTGACTTCCCAGTTGAAGCCCATTACTACTCGTTGCGGGCATCTGTTCTGCGGAGAATGCCTGGAGTCAGTCATTCGTATATCTAAAAAATGCCCGACTTGTAAAACATCTATAACATTAAAATCTTCTACTCGTTTGTATCTTTAATGACTCTTACGTTTTTCTTTTTGACAAGTATTACAAGTTGTGCCGCATTTATTTTTTCTAGTTTTTTCCATTTTGTACTCTCTCATTTGTTTGTAGATTAAAAATGATTGTCAATGTACTTCAATTTTTTTTATGTAAAGAGCAAAGAGTCCAGTTCGTAGAACAATTATAAAAATTGAAATCCTGTTTGCATCTTCAATTAATCGCACGCCGTTTGATATTCCTTTTCTATTATTTGTCTAGTATTATAATTCGAATTGTACAAAAGTTAAAAGTGATTATAAACTAGTTTTAATTATCTCCTGGAAACATACATGTAAAATAAGTTTGTAATAAAATTCCATAATGGTGAAAACATTTATCTTCATATCTACATATTTCTACATAAAGAAATACAAATAATCTTTTCAACTAGTTTCTCAAATACTGAAATTTACACTGATATAATATATTTTGAAAATAAATAATTAATCTCTGCTTCAAACTATACCTATGTTAATACCAAACCTATTTTAAAACATAGATAATTATTTCGTACTGAATTTATTCTGATATACGTGTTGTTTACGTGTGCGTGTATCCTGGATGAAAATGATCATATTTCATATTTTGGTTGACTGTTTACATTAGTTATTGCCCGTGACCTTAAAGTATCCGTTGGATCTCGCAGGAGAATCACTTGTCGTTCTGCCTTCGTAGACACAGCCAGGTAATCCAGTTCGAAAGTAAAATCTATTATAAATTTAAGAGGGATAAAGATTTCTTCAGAAAAGAGAGAGAGAAGAATAACAGTACACGAATATGAAGCCGCAAAATATGGCCAAAGTGTTACAAATTGCCTATACATGTATAAGTGTAGGAGTTACACGTAAGTAAAATTACGGAATTTCTCAATCAATTTTAATCTCTGCCATACAATTCACCCATTACATGCGAAAATCTGTTTGTAGTCGTACTTTACGATACTTTAAAAGGATACGCTATTCGCCGGCAACGGGCGTCAACTCAAGATGAAGCGAAAGAAGTTAAAGGTAAAAGTTATTTCAATTATTTAGTTACATATACGTTATTCAGTATTCGTTAAGTATACGTGTCATTATATGATTTTGTTCAACAGACAATAAAAATAACGTGACTAAGTGTCGGGTACCAAGATATGTTGACAACTGACGAAATTATAATCGATAATGGACTCAACGTCACTTAATAATGCAAATTTTTAATGAATACACTTCGGCTGCTTACCGGTCTGGTGATAAAAATTCTCAAGGTTTTTCGGTTCAGCATCGGACAATTTGAAAATTAATAACGCAACAAAAGAAGGACACGACGCTTCATGCGTTTCAACTAAACGGAAAACGAGGTGCCTAACAAAATTTGACGTAGAATACATATAAGTGTCTGTTTAATATGAGTTTTATAGTCGTAATTTAGAAGAAAACCCTGGTAGCACAGTGCATTTGCTAAAACATTAGTCTACAATAGTCTAATATTAATTATATTGAAAGTGAATAGTTCGTATGTCTCAACGTGAAGTCAACACTAGCCATGAAATAAACGTGAACATTGTGTGACAGTAATTCTGTATTATGAATTCAATCTAATATTTAATTATTATTATCTAACAATATTATTCAACAATTATGTAAAATATTAGATTTGTATTGAAAACACATTGGCCAATATTTAGTCATACAATATGAAAGTTGTTCCAATAATGTTCTAATATCAATACAATGTGCCTATAGTGTCGTGTCCCAGTATGTGTATTGTCACCAATATTGCTGATAAATAGGCATACTGGCTAAATAAGAGCCGATGCCCATCTTACGTCCATATTAAACCAATATCTTGTGCTATTAGGGAAAATGACTTACGAGTCATTTAATACCACATTACATGTATGTGAAGAAACAATCTGAAACAATTTGACAATACAAGCAGCTTTATGAAGTAATGAGAAAGTAAGTGTATTTTTCATCCAATGTCCCCTGCTATGGCTCGTAATATGAGATAGCGGGGTTCCTGCTAAATTAATATCTGTTCCACCAGGAATTCATTGCCCTTGGAGTGAAGTGTGTTTAGTGGCAAATTTTTTGTTAGACGGTGTAATCGTTGCGATAAAAGATTTGTCATTGAATTTGGACGTTAAAAACCTGCTGTCTCATAATAGAGGACTTTCCCCTCTGCTTGTACCCGTCCTCATATTTATTTAGATCTTCGCGCAATGCCGGTAACGGCACGAGACAAACACGGAACAACTTAATTTTTATATCCTATATCAGCCATAAATATTTGTACGCTAAACGATAACGAGTACAACGGACTCGGACTGAACCAAGTTTCGCCCTCTGCGAGCGGCGTCGCGACGTTCTCGTTTCTCTCCCGCGCCGCAAGTACCGAGGCGCGTGGAAATTCCGCAAGCAGACTCCTCGATCGTAGATAATATCTAGAGCGAGAGTTTTATCGCGGCGGACGGACGGCGTGTTATCGGCGATAAAGCGGAGGCGCGCCGCGGGATTCGAAATCGCGCGCTGTTATCGGCGAGGCGTTTACCCGGCAGCGCTCACGCGCCCGGCCGCATTGGCCGGGCGCGTCCAAGACTCCCCAAGGCCGCGCCTAACGTCACGCCGTGTAGCGGACGGACGGGCGAGAGATAAACGCAGGTGCCCGCGTCGGTCGGCGTCCTCCGCGGCGGCTGTGCGATGAGGACGGCGCACGGCCGCGTAGTCGAGCGAGTTGTTGCGGCGAGTGTCGGCGCGCGACCGCGCGCCTCTCGACGGTGTTACGTGCGCGCCAGCCGCGATTAGACTCCGCTCGTTGCCCGTTCCGTCGGCGCTTGGACGCGCCGCTCGCACGCACGCGCGCGCGGGCGCGCGCGCGCGCGGAGGGAGTCGAGGGAGAGACAACGCGGAGTCCTCTGCTCCTCCCCCGTTGCCGTGTCATTGACTCAGGGCGAAGTGTCAAAATCTGCCCGTGCCCGTTTCCCGCCGCCACCCCGCCCGCCCCCCTCTCTCGGCCCCCCCGCCCGCGTCGTCGCGGGGTATAATATTAAAAGCGGTCGGCCGCGAATAATCTCGTCGCCCGGCGATAGTACCCTGCGCCTCACTGGCTGGCGGAAGACGCGACGGCGAGGACAACGCACGACGGCGGCAGCCGAAGGAGCGCGTACGTACACACGGCGGCACGTATTATCCGGTGCGCGCTTTGTTTTTCCTCCGCCTCCGTGCGCTTCCCGCTCGCGCGCGGCGCGCGGCGTTCGCGTGCCGATATCGACGTTGCGCCTGGCGTTTCCTCGCCCCCTCGCTCTCTCTCTCTCTCGCGCGCGCACGAGACGCGCCGAGGAGACTCCGGGGGCCGCGCGATCTGCGACGCAGCGCGCGACGACGCATGCCAGTTGCCAGCACCTCGCACCTTCGATCTCGCGCTCTCGCGCGAGAGGCGACTCGCTCTGTGTTTTCCTCCTCCTGCTCGCGCTCCCTCCTCCCTGGTCCCCCCCCCCCCGAGAACGCCTGGATTTTCGCCAGTTCCCTCGCGGAGTGAAAAAGGAAAAGAGAGGCAGAAAAACAATCTCCATTGTCCCGTGCCGCATTTAACCTTACGCGGAAATGTCGTCGGACGTGTTGTTGACACGCTTGTGATCGCGGGCCTCTGTCCTCTGGTTCACCGGAACGCCGTCCCAAGTTCGCCAGATAGACCGCTAGTTAATTATTCAGCCGTTAAATGGACGCTAATAGCTCCGATGTATTGGCAGCGCGCTGGCAGGCGGAATCTATATAAACATGCGTACGTATGCGCGTGTCCCGTGCGTGGCTCCTGCGTGTGTGCGGGAGAGTCGCCGCCGCGAGCGGATTATAGTTATTACATAATTATATAAAGGAGTTGGCACTTGGCGCGTTTTAGCCCGTGTATATACACGCGCGCATGAATATGTGTGCGTGCACAGGTGCCTCTGTGTCGGCGCACGCGAAATAACTTTTATACGTGCTATTTACAGATCTGTTTATAAACTGTGTAACACTCGTGTGTCTGATTCCAGGCTGCGCACACTTCAAGCGTTAAAGGCGGAAATGATGCTTCAACGGCACGAATGAGCGCGTAGCGACCGAGGAGGCGTCGAGACACCATCGGAGAATAATAAGCCATGTACCGGAGATACGTTTAATCAAATTTGAGAAAAAAGAAATTGCCTCATTGCACGAGGTGAGGCCGCGGAAAGTGATGCCGGTTCACCAGATCAATGTTAATCCGCCGGACTGGCAACCGCCATTGTCAATTGGTCCTTCCAACAACACGAGCCCCGCTGGCGGAGAAGCTCTGTCAGAATGGATACCGCAGGTGATTCCTAGATTGGGATTAACGGGCGATACCTTGTATCTCGATCTCCCTTCAGTTTTCCGTACGATTAATTGCCCCGAAAACCGGCACCTTCGCCAGTTAATTGTATTGCATACGCGTCGGTTTCTACCCTCGTTTGCGCTTCTTTCAAGTTTTTGTTGAAACGAGAATGTGGAACGTCCCTTGTGGCTACATGTGCTCGCAGACTGCAGAGTCTTTGTGTCAAGTTTCACTTTATGTTGGTTTTACCGACCCACAGTTCTGAGTTATCGTATGCGATTGAAACTAAGAGTTTATTTGGAGGGGGGGGGGGAGAAAACGACACGACACTCAGTTAATTTTAAGTGGGCTTTGATAAAGTTTCGACTTGAGACTTGGCTGATGTAAGAGATGTATAATTTTGATAAGAAGATACTCTCGTTAAAGCAATTACGACATACGGACTGAAAACTCTGCGGTTTGAAGGGACTGGCGGTGAACGCTCAGCACGTGCGTTATTTATTTTTACGCTTCAAAAGTTAAAAAAGAATCGAATCGACCGAACGATCGGAGCGGAGGCGCGGGACGCGGCGCTCCAAAATGGTATTGTCTATTTTTAGACATAAAAATTTTACGTCACCTTGATAATTATTAATATATCGTCGAGAGCGTGTTATCTGGAAAGTACTTGTATGTATACACAAATCGTACAGAAAGATAAGAGGATATACTTCGATAATGACCTCTTCCCCGGCGTGACTCACGCAAGTGCACTCATTTCAGAATTTTGCTTATGGTACGGTAGTTACTATTATACCAGATGATTGCCACTCGTCCGTAAGCACGTTATCTTCGACCAACCACGACATTTGCAGGTAAATGCACCGCAACGGGCGTCACGTGCGTATCGCTATCATACGTACGATTGCGCACACCCGTTGCCCGTTTATAACTATTTATAGCCACGTCTATAATCTTTATTCATTTACAAGAAAGTTTTGCTGCGTTTTGCCAATAGGATCTGCCATTGCGAGGGTGAGGAAGGCGCCCCTTTGTTAGCACCTTGCTATTGCAGCGGCAGTCTGCGCTACGTACATCAGGCTTGCCTTCAACAATGGATAAAGGCGTCGGACACGCGCGCCTGCGAATTGTGCAAGTTCACGTTTATCATGCACGCCAAGACGAAACCGTTCTGCGAGGTAGGCGAATCTATTTCCAATCGCGGGTAAAATTTCCACCTCCCCACCTCCTTCCAAGAACGAAAAGTACCCGCGGGTATGCGTCGCGCCGCGGTCACGGTGAGACATGAATGAGATGTAACCGTCTTTGCAGTGGGAGAAGCTCGAGATGTCCGCGCTGGAGGTGCGAAAGCTGTGGTGCGCGGTCGCCTTCCACGCCGTGGCCGCGCTCTGCGTGGCCTGGTCGTTGTACGTACTCGTTGAACGATCCGTGGAGGAGGCCCGGCGCGGATTCGTCGACTGGTCCTTCTGGACCAAGCTGATAGTCGTCGTGATCGGTTCCACTGGCGGATTAGTTTTTATGTATATTCAATGCAAAGCGTACATTACATTGTGCAGAAAGTGGCGAGCATTTAATAGGTAGGTGCCAACCCTCTGCGGTGTCTCTCTCTCTCTCTCTCTCTCTCTCTCTCTCTCTCTCCACCTTTATGTGTGTGTACAAGTATACTCGTCCCAGACTGATCGCCGCCTCCCCGTCTATTCCAGGGTGATATTTATTCAAAATGCTCCCGAGAAAGTGGTGCTTCCTCCCTCACCCACGGACTCTTTAAGAGAAGTTACCCTACCCCTGAAGGACCCAACTGCCTCGATGGCCGAGCTCAACCGCACCTTGTTACCCCGTACCATAGATCCTCCATGTGCCTCGCAGATGGCGAAGCCCGACTCTGCCGCGCCGCCGCAGAGGCACGACGCTCAACTGAAACTTTACGTATTCGACAAATTGTCCTCGTCCGAGGACAATCTATAATACTTCGGAGACGGGAACGGTCGTTAAAAAGAAAGAAAGAAAAACGTTGCGCGTCTGAAAGGTGATGATCAGCCAAATTTCTCGTTTCGAGACGAAGGGCGCATCCCGGCCGGAGTCGCCGGACGGATTTCTAGACTACACGATTTCGTAACTCGGAAACGGAATTATCCTTGCCGAAGTCGTTCAAATATCCGCCCTCATGCAGCACCTTTTTTTTCCGAAACTTAGTACTTCAGTGCTTACAGTGTTGACAAGTGAGATAGAGACGGAAGTGTACAGCCCCGAGGATGCTGGCGCTTTCTTATGTACATAATTATTGTATCTGTGATGTTATTAAATAAACTTTACCATATTTAAACGAGCCCTTTCAGCCTTTTGCAATCGGCGTTCACCGCTTCTCCCCCCCCCCCCCCGTCAACGCAAACCGAGGAACGGAGAGTGTCGGCGGTCATCTGTGACGCTCCTTTGGTCAATGGTTCCTGCCTTCTGAAGAATACAGCCAGCATCAAGTTGCACGTTCGACGGAACAAACATAACTGATCGAGCATTCCTCTTCCGAGCGACAAAAACTGAGTTCAGGGGGTCAATTCTGTATCTTACACTGTATGAAAATGCCAAAAGTGTAAGATACAGAATTCACCCTCTCGTATCTTACGATACAGTCAAAAATTACAAACCTACATCAAATTGTATAGTGAAAGTACTAAAAGTGAGCGACTCTGTCTCTTTCTAAGGGGACGGTTAGAAGGAGGCAAAGCTGTTCACTTTTAGCATTTTCACTATAGTGTAAGATGCAGAATTGTGACCCTCTTGTATCTTACGAGTAGGCGAAACATAAAAACACTTTTATTATGCAAATCGTACCCAACCCAGTGAGAAATGATTCGTCGATCGATGTCGAAACGATGTCGAATCGACGTCAATTTGACGGTATCGAATGTCGATTCGACATCGATCGACGAATCATTTCTCACTGGGAAGCTATCGATTGAGTGCACTTGGAAGTTCGTCGGATCTGCCGTTGTTGAGATCCGAAAATCTGTGGGCCTGTCAACTCGCGTACTCGCGTAAACTATACACGGTCGGTCTCGCGCGCGCGGTTCTAGCTAGCTTATACTTGGCGCGAGACACTACCGTGTCTCGTGATATAGTTAGAAATTACAAACCTACATCAAATTGTATAATGAAACTACTAAAGGTGAGCGACTCTGTCTCTTTCTAAGGGGATGGTTAGAAGGAGACAAAGCTATTCACTTTCAGCATTTTCACTACCCTAGTAGCACAGTGCATTGAACAAACGTTGGTTAAACATTGGCCCAATATTTGGTTGTCTTGGATCAACGTTTAGCCAATGCACTGTGCTACTAGGGTGTAGTGTAAGATACAGAATTGACCCTCTCGTATCTTACGATACAGTTAAAAATTACAAACCCACATCAAATTGTATAGTGAAAGTATAGTAAAAGTGAGCGACTCTGTCTCTTTCTAAGGGGATGGTTAGAAGGAGACAAAGCTATTCACTTTCGGCATTTTCACTATATAGTGTAAGATACAGAATTGACCCTCTTGTATCTTACGATACAGTTAAAAATTACAAACCTACATCAAATTAATTGTATAGTGAAAGTACTAAAAGTTAGCGACTCTGTCTCTTTCTAAGGGGACGGTTAGAAGGAGGCAAAGCTGTTCACTTTCAGCATTTTCACTATAGCATGAGATACAGAATTGACCCCCAGCAGAAGAGCAGAAGTCAGCGTTTAATAAGCGCCTCGCGCCGATTAAATTACGCATCTAAATTTCGAAGAATAGTTCTATCTCAGCACAAACCCGAAAGGATAATCCAATAAGCGCGAAACGCTTATTAAGCGCTGACTTCTGCCGAGCTCGAGTTTTACAAGGGATCAGCGTAAGCTAATTTCGGAGCAATCGCGGCATGGCGGCCCGCGCCTCGTCGCTCTTTTTACCGCGGAAGGTTAATCCGTGATTCCCGCGCGCGACGCCAGCGCCACTGGATCGAGTTGCGGCGACCACGGCGACATCGAGGGATTCCGGCTGCTCGATGCTGCCGTATCGATCGGTTGATCAGTGTCGCGCGTGTAGCCGAAACGTCCGGTCGGGTAGTTCGTTCGTTGCGTCGTCTCTTGTCTCGCGGGCGCGTTTCACAGGTCCGCGCACAGTAGCCGAGCGGAGCGCGCGCGGCGGCGGCGGCGGCAGCGGCGGCGGCGGCTCGCGTACGAGAGAGAAAGAGACGGAGAGATTCGCGTATCCCGCGCGCGAGAGGCGGTAAGGTCGCGCGCGGATCCACGCGGACGGTGTTGCGCGGCGAGTGTGCGTGTGGCGTGCCGTGTCCGACGAGCAGTGTCCGCACGCGGAAACTGCGGAAACCGCGCGCGTTCCCGGCCTCCGCGCGCCCGACGGCGAGTGGCGAGCGTTGCCGTTATGTAGCGCCGGCGGTGTGTAAATGAAGCGGCGACGTATACCGCGCTCGCGTGCCGAGGGGAGGGTATCGTCCGCCGCGACCGCGGCGGCGGCGGCGGCGGGGGCGATGGGAATGGCGCGCAAATGCTGCGTGCGTAGCTGCAGGGCGGACGTGCGGGAGGCGCGCGCCAAGGGGCTGCCTCTGCACAAGTTCCCCAAGGACGCCGCGCTGCGGGACAGGTGGTTGGCCAGCGGCGGCTTCGAGGCGAGTTTCAAGCCGACGCCAGGCCAGGTCGTCTGCCACAGGCATTTCAAACGCGCCGACTACGAGGCCGCGCGGGGCGGTCACAAGTTCCTGCTCAGGAGGGGCAGCGTGCCCACGGTTTTCGCCGACTATGACGAGCATCCCGGTACGTGTGACGAAACCCGGGCCGGGCCGGACACGTCCGTCGGTCGGTCGATCCGCCCGCCTGGTGCCGCGAGACCGAAGTGCACGTTGGGCGTAAAACGCAACGTAGTTGCGTCTCGCGCATCCATCTCTTTCCCTCGCGAGCGCGCGCGCGCGCTCTTTCTTTCTCTCCCTCCCACCCTCGCTGCTCTCCACCGCGTGTCCTCCTGCCGCTGTGTTCCCCGCCCCCCTCGCCCCCGTCCCCACCTCGTCGCGTGTTCGATAGGCGTGCGGTGAGCGCCAGCTCGGAGGCTCGCCGAAGGAACGTGTCACGTCGCGCTCGCGCCGGCGTTATGCCGGTAGTTTCCGCGAGCCGGCACGTCGGCGGTCCCTGACGACGTTGTCACCGTCGTCGTCGTCCGGCAGCGCCGACGGCCGCGCCGCGTGAGATTTCGAATCCGCGACGTTTCAACAACGTTCGCCGGCGACAGCTCGCCGAGCCGGCACTCGCAGCCGCGGCGAGGCAGGTTTTTTTCCTCTATCTTTCTTTTTTTACAGTGAAGGCATGACGTCAGTAATCGCGTGTGCGCTCACTAGGAGGATCGTATATGCACTGCTGTATTATTAAGAATGTTAAAAGACCAAAATAGTCGATACTTTTACCGGCCTATTGCTCCAACGCGGCTGAAGTCCGCGCGAGTGACGTGTACGAGTGCCAATTCTAGTCTATCACGTTGCAATAAATCAAAAACCGATTTGCTAAGAATAGCCAGGCTCTTACTGGGAAACCCGTTCGTATTTTGTACACTCGGAAAGTTCTTTAACTTTTGCGAGGAGTACAATTATCTTTGGTGTACAACTAGGGGGTGTATTATAATCTGTGCACCTTTGCTCCGTTCTTTATTCGAATAAAATCGAGTTACGCTCAGCCGAATTAACGAATCGTTTGTCAACAATGCGTGCGATTCGCTAAAAATTTGTAAGAATTTTAATCGGCGCGCTAGAGCGTTTTATGAAGCGTATGATAAGTGTATTAATGTTTCATAAAACTGTTTAAATAATGTGCAATTTGAGATTTTATGCCATCACTGCACGTGACATGTCGCAGGTCCGATTGTATACGTACACGTGTGATATCTGAGAAAGATTTGCATGGCTTTTCAGTGAGAGATTCTTGGAGAAATCTGTGTAATCGGCTCTTCCCAAACGCAAAGAGATATCCACCTGCGGCTCGCCAAAGAATGCAATTTTCCAATCCGTTCGGCTTCCATGTGAAATTTAGCTGTGAATTGGTTTACATTATCTTTTAAAAAAGGATTGCAAAGCCGTTGAAAGGTCTATTATCAAAGAGCCGGAGCGTTTGATATTTTGGGACACTCTGTATGCGTTTCCAGCACTTTTTATCTTTACATCTGGATTTGATCGACTTTATGGAAGCGAAAACCTTTTCTTTTCAGAAGAACGCAATTTCTCGAATTGAATTTATCTCAGCGTGAATTTTGTTTTGGTTCTCGTCTCTTGGTTCTTCGCTCTTTGAAAATTGTATCTGAATTTTACACGTACACAATTTATGCGTATATTCTCATCGAGATGAGAAACAATTATCGAAGATGAGCGAACAAATGTCACGTTGTATTCTTTACCCTTTCAGATCCTGTTATTATGTCGGTCAAGTCTTCTACATCCTACGCGCAAGAGGACTTGGACCTGATAAATTCGGAAATACTAAATTTGGAGCACTCCGCCTCGCCGTTGTTATCCGAGGCGAGGACACCCAAGTCCGACAGCTGCGGCGAGACGATTTACTCGCGGCCCGAGTCGTCGGCGGACTCCCTGAATCTCCCCGACAGCTCGGAGGTAGCGGATACCGAGTACAAGGTGATAAATCTGAAAGAAGAGAGCAAGATCGCCGTGAAGCACAAACCGACCGACAGTAATTCGGATAATAAAGTAAACACGGTGGCGATGCAGCTCGGCATCGTCGAATCCGAGACATCAATGAAGACTGATGCCAAAGACCTAAAGGAAGAATTGAAATTACCCGGCAACAAGGAATTCGACAAGTCCGAGGAGCTGAAGCCGAAGGTTTTGAACCGCGGCGGCTTGAAATTCTTCCCCGGTGCCAAATTGGAAGCGAAAGACTTTAACGAGAAATGGCAAGTATCGTCGAGTACGGCTTGAGTAAAGAGACAGCTCGCAATTTTCCACCCAAACCTGCGATTGGGCGAGGACGAAGAGCGCTTAGTATCTCGCAAAGAGGCGTGAATTGCGCGTTTGAAAGTTACATTACTACTAAAAAGTCCGGACAAACTGAATATGCGTTGATTAATATTTATGCGGTATTCTGTAGGTATTCCGCAAAAGTGGTAGAGACAGATTGGGACGAGAGGGAGGTTTTGATACACTTCGACAAGTGGAGCTCGAGGTTTGACGAATGGATACCGATGGATAGCTCTAGACTTCGCGTGTTGCAAACCCCACAAAAGTAAGTTTGCGCTGCAATTTCGTCGGAGGAGGAGTCTGTAAAAGCCTCGTCTACAACAGTCGCACAAGTTGTGTCGCACGGAATTAAACCAACTTCAACTTACTGCGACAAAGCGTGTCGCACAAGATCGGCCAGTCGTTACATTGGCGCTAAAAGTGATTTACCTTGTGTTGCTAGCCGATCCACAGTGAATTTTCTTATTAATGTTTTGTATTAATGTGTAAACAACGTAGAAAATGAAAGCCGAGGACAATCTTATTGTTAGTGCAGACAAGGAGATAATAGCCTTTGTCCGCGCAAACCCCCTGTTGTGGCAGAAGCGTGTTAAAATTAATAAAAAGGACTAGAATATCGTCGATCGAGCGTTTTCACTGAGCAAACGGCAATATAAAGACAGTGAGTTTAGAAATTGGGAGCAAAGTTGTAGAAAGATTAATAATCGCCGGGCATCCACTGTTGCTGCGATCGATTTGACGCCGTCGCGAATCTTCGCGACTATTGTAGACGCTCGTTCAGCGACACAACCTGTGCGATTATTGTAGACGAGGCCTTAACGCGCGACTTCCTCACGGATTACTTGACATCACTTCTACTATCTTGTCTCGAAGACCTAGAGATCTTGTTTTAAGCCATTGTCTTTTATCTTTCCTTAAAGCGAACAAGCTTGGATCCCGCCGTCTCCGTAAGTGAAAATTGTGTAACGATCAGGTGGTCAATTCTGTATCTTGCACTATAGCGAAGATGCTAAAAGTGAGTAGCCTTGTCTCTTTCTAACTGTCCCCTTAAAAAAAGAGACAAAGCCGCTCGCTTTTAGCATTTTTGCTATGCTGCAAGACACAGAACTGACCCCCAGGTAGTTTTAGTACTTGACAGTAGCAGTAGTGAAGTTCCCCATTCTATGAGACAGGCTTCTAATACGAGATAGCAGGTGTTCAACATCCAAAATCAATGGAATCTCTCCTCGCAACGATTGCACGGTCTAATAATGAATTTTCCACCAAACAGATTCGCTCCAATTCGTGGACCAATCGACGACGCCCATTAATTTAGCTGAAACCCTGCTGCCACATCTCAGGAGCCTATCTCGTAATAAGGAACTTTCCTCTAACATCTCGTTGCTTCACACCCTTGTTTGTGTTGCAATTAACTGTTGACTTGAAGCCGCCCCCCGCACTCCGATTATTTTTCATGGGTGACGGCGAGTGTCGGCCCGTTGTCCACACACGCGGGGGAAACCGCTGACCAACATCTTGTACACCAATGCCCACTGATGCCCGGTGGGCATTACTTTATCTTTCTAATGCTCCAGCAAGGCCTAATGCCCAAGTAATGCCTAGTAATGCCGCAAATCTGTACACCACGATACGCCCTCAGCGGTTTCCCCCTCGTCCAAACAGTCTCGAGCAACGGGACGCACGAGTGTTCGCTCTCGTGTACATCGACTCCGATTCCCCGGAGCGAGCGAGGACGCACGATAGACACGGCGCAAATAAAAATGCAACTTATCGTCGCGGGTGAGCGTGGGGTGGAAAACTCGGATTTCTTCGCGTCGTTCGCAGCTCGCGTGCCTTGCGTCGCGTATCCCACACGTTGCTCTCGTCGAATAATTACCGTTGCGTCCTGCCGCTGCTTCTCGTTGATACGCGCTGTCGCGTGTTGCGGACGCGTTGTGACGGTGCGACAATTGTAACAATTTTCCCTCAATTCCGAAACACCGCCGGGACCATCCCCCGTTTCCGGGTCGGGGAAACAATTGCACCGCGGCGTGTCCAGAGACTCCGGAGTTATCCGGCGGGGAAGGGGAGAAAAATATGGGAAACCCAACGGCGCGAGACTCGTATTTTTCCCCTCCCCCTCCGCAACCCCCACTTGCAGTTTTCCCTGTTCCGTTGGAAACCCTCGTGCGCTCGCCCGCGCTCGCTCGCTCGCCCGCGTGCTCCACGTTTCGCGTGTATAATGCGAGGATTTCGCACCCGTAGGGAGACGAGGATGCGGGAGCGGGAGTTCGCGGTGGGAGAGCGGATTCTCGCTACGTGGGCGGACGGCAAGAAGTATCCAGCCAAAGTGAGCGCGGTCTTGTCGAATGGTAAGCGTCCTAACCTAACCTAACCCGTGGCCGCGCGAGCGGAGAGAAGAGGCTAGAACTGCGTGCCCCCCCCCCCGTAGATTTGACGTTTGGCCCGTCAGAGACGGGCCCCGCGGAGACGTAACAATTTTTTCTCCCTCCCCCACCCCCCTCGATGGCGCGCGGCCGCGGTCCTAAGTGAATTCTTCATTCGCAGACAGGTACAACGTGCTGTTCGACGATGGATACGCCAAGATCGTCAAGTCGTCGAAAATGACCAAGATCGCCGCAAACCCGACCAAGGTATGGACTCCCAGATTGAGGTTATGTTGTTGTTTCTTAAGTTCGCCCCAGAGAAATCCCGTCGAAGTCGGCGGAGCCGAGCGGTGCTCTCGCGTTGGATTTAACGTCGTCTCGCGTTGTCGCCCAATTATTGCCCTCGACCGGCCGTGAGAATGCGAAAAGCGATTATACGGTGGAAAACTTGGGGGGGCAAGCTCTGCGCCAGATAAAATGTTTTAACTGTGACGCTCACACGTGCGGTCCGTTAAGATTTACATTGCGTCGCGTCGACGTCATTTGCAAATTGATTTTTTTTTTCATTTTACGCAAACAGCAATTGAACGAAGTGGATGGATATATCGGCAGCAAGCAGGAGAGAAGGGACAAGAAACGGAAGCACACAGTCATGGAGTTGTTCAACATTCACTCAAGGAGACGCACGAAGCCCGACGCTGAGAAGGCGCCAAAGAAGGAGGAGACTGTCGTCAAGGAGAACAGCGAGGGCACCGCGGAGAGCAAGATCGAGACGGACGGTACCCTGTACGGCCCCTGTTACGATCCCGGGACAGATTTGCTGAGAGGTTTCGAGACCAGTTCCCCGAAGATCAAATCGTACTCGAAGAAGAGCAAGAAGGAAATGCCCAAGAACGACACGGATCACGGGGAGAACGTCGGTCCCGAGTGGATCGACGGAGAGCCCCAAGGAACAGAATCTTACATTGTAGACGGCAACGACGGTGAGCACGTAATTTTATCAAAAAGTACGTCCGCCTCTCGTAAACACGTCGTAATGATATTTTAACGAAACGCTGTTGTTCCAGGACCGCGCCGGTCTATAATAGTGCCGGACAAGAGATTGCCCCCTGGTTGGGAGAAGCACTTCACGCAGAGGAAAGCCGGTTCGTCCGCCGGAAAGTGGGACGTCTTGTTCATACAGTAAGACGAGAGATACATTTTATTGGCGATAATTGTCGAGCAATCAAGATTCGTGTGTGATCGCATTTTTCTTTAAAAGTAAGCAGACCGGGAAGAAGTTCAGGTCGAGAAATGACATCAGGGTGTTCATGGAGAATCAAGGGCAGTTCGATTTCGACCCGGAAAAATTCGACTTCTGCATACATCGCAGGAAGCGTAACCACGCGCATCGCGCGAAGCAGGATGTCACGCCGGAGGCGCCGAAGAAGATCAAGACTTTATTGCCCAAGACGAAAACGGCCACGCCTGAGAATACGCTGCTCACTACGGTGGCGAGCACCACCGACGGTCAACCCACTCTCTCGACGCCCGCTACATCTACAGACGGTGGTAAGATTTCTGCGATACGCTACGTTTTAATCCGCATCACATTTTAATATTTGCAATATATCTTTTACATTCCACTAATTCGCCAGAGATGATCTATTGTAAGTACTCGTAGATACGTATTTTTCACAAAATTAAGTAGCCTCTTAGCGAAGGAACCTAGACTTACCCCTGTGAAGTTAGCCCCCATTATTTAAAAATTTAATTTTTTTTACGAGTTCCCTATAAATTTACAATAGTTCCAAGAGTTCTTGATGGGTTTAAGAAAAAATGAATTTTTTTTAATGGGGAGCTAACTTCACGCAGCCCCCCCATTTTTGTAAAAACTAATTTTTTAATGGAGTTCTGGATAGATTTCGCATAGTTCTAGAGTTCTTGATACATTTCAACAACAGTTCTGCACAAGAAAGTAAAAAAAACGAAGTTGAAGAATCAAGAAACTACCCCAGAAATAGGCATAACTGTAAAAGTATTAATGTAATGGAATTTTGCAATTAGGATTTTCGATAGAACTCTGCGGGGGCTACCGGCAACTCTCAACAGAACTGCCGGAACTGTGCGATTTTAGGTGTCAGTTTCTGTCTTATAAGATCCGAAAAATTTTTTGAACAGTTCCGGCAGTTCTGTTGAGAGTTCCCGGTAGCCCCCGCAGAGTTCTATCGAAAATCCTAATT